TACCGACCTACTCTCATCCAGTGTTGTAATTAATTACTAATTACTTAATTACATCAGACGAGAGAAAGTAATTAATTACTAAATTACTAATTACATCAGTCGAGTAATTAATTACAATTACAATTACTTCCGTCAGAAGTAATTAATTACTTAATTACAAATTAATTACATTTTTTGTATAATCATGGCGATACAATCTTAAAAGTATGGTATAGTCACGCAAGTATTAGTTTCCCGGTATCAAAGTTGTTACCACTTCGTCTTAAAATTATACCGGTCAACTGGTAAATTTTTACCGATCCGTAAAAATTTGCTACCGATATGATAAAACTTTAATACCAAGCAATTACTACACTGCTGACTGCATTACTTACCAATACCATTTTAGTATACTAAAATGAGACTCTATAGAGTCCCATTTGAATACCGCTTGGTAGTATTTTCATACTATATTTCTAGGAGCGTAAATGTACTAAAGAACTGCAATTAACCTTTGAGATTAAGCAGTCAATTAATCTAGTTGTTGGAAGTACATTCAAAGAACTCAAAATATTTAATAGAAAATGAATAATTGGGCGTATTTAGGGCCAAATTAATCTTCACGATCGTCTAAAAACGATCCTGTAAATCAAGATTTTACACAGTAAGCATTCTAATTTGAAGCAATCGTGTAATTAATTACTCAAATTAATTACTTTGTTACTAACTTAAAGCCAAGTAATTAATTTATAATTACAATTACACTGGCACAAGGTAATTAAAGTTTAATTAGTAATTACTTTCTCGATTTTTCTTGTAATTAATCACGTACATAAATAAAAAGTAATTAATTAAACTGTCTCATCCTCAGTATTTTGAAAAAAAAACTTAAGAAAATTGTAATTGAAGCTTCGTTCGTCCTTAAAGTGGGGGGAATCAAACCATGTTCAAGGTTCAACCCGGATTAAATATTTGGCCATATCAGCTTTAAAGACTAACTCTTTAGAAACAACATTCAACTATCTACGTAATATTACCTTCTTATTACTGGAATGTCTCAACAAAACGAAATCTATACCGAGGTGTAACTTAAATTGTAAAATCAATATTCAACAGTTACCGATAAGTTAAGATTTTGTATAGTACATATGTTTCAGGAAAATTTAGAAAAGTTAAAGCTGCCAAAATGTGCGCTAATCTTCAAAGTTTTTGGTATATCCAGTAGTAATAAACCGTTGCAAACGAAATGTAGCAATAGGGTGAAACCACATGAGATAACTTTTTATAAGAGAAATATTTTACGTAAATACCATCCCCACGGTCATCGTACGTCAAAACCATGTCGATTTTTGAAATCCCCGCCCCAAAATACGTCTAGAACGTTTTAAAAGACAAAATTCGACATTTTTTGTCCGTCTACACGGTCACACGGTCATCGCACGTCAAAACCATGTCGATTTTTGAAATCCCCGCCCAAAAATAAGTCTAAAACGGTCGAAACGACAAATTTCGACATTTTCGACATTTTTTGTCGTCTACACGGTCACACGGTCATCGCACGTCAAAACCATGTCGATTTTTGAAATCCCCGCCCCAAAATACGTCTAAAACGGTCGAAACAAAAAATTCGACATCTTTGAACGTTGGCGTCGTCGCCGTGGCGACGTGACCTTACGACCTACAATGCCCATCTTCGAACTTGTCCGTACTTTTAAAATTAGAAACACGATGGCGAAAACCGCATATCGAATTTCGAATCCGTTCAATAGTTAGAGCACGAACGGACAGACGGACAAGGCACATCCATAATAGGGTTCACCCTATAATAAGTACAGTAATAATTACAGTAATAAGTACAGTAGTATAAAATGTACATAGTCGGAAACACTCAAGTGTCAATGACATATAGCTTTATTACTTTTGTAAATCTCAACCTAGCAATTTGTGATTTATTTTACCGAAAAGCCAGATAAATTTCAATTCAAAAACAATTTTTAGTCTCAAAAATTTCCTCCTCCTGCGTCAATGCCACGCTGAAGACCAGACGACCACTCCTCGATGGAATTACGCACCGATTCCAGGGACATTTAGTTGCATTCTGGGGTCAGAAATTTTTTCCAAGCCTCCGCACTTCTACGGGGTTTAGAACACACCTTTGCCCCTAACTTTGACCATTTCTCATATTCCGGTGGCTCAAATCCATCAAGGATGATGACCAATTCTGATTGGAGATAATGACAGGAATTTGTTTTTTTAGCTACGCTTGGGTCATTTTTTGCACTATAAATTCGTGCTGAGTCCTGCTGAGAGGTCCCATCGATTCCATTGAATTGGACCTCACTTAGGGGATGTACCACGGACTCAAAAACATATTTTAAGAAATTTGATTCCCCCACCTCCCCCCAATTTTCAGCAAAATGTAGAGAAATTACCCCAATTAGCTCCCACCTGCCAAAATCATCAAAAAACCTGGACAATGTGACTTTCTGACCTTTTGTCTATATTGGGGGATGTCTCTGACCGATTTTGCGTAGATTAGGACAACTCGCTTGTTAAAAGATTTTTCCAATGTGAAAATCTCCTCATTTGTAAAAAGAATCCTGCTCACGTTTTTGGAGCGTACCACTTGAGGTGACTCTTGCATTCATTTAATCTGGTTTTCCTTTGGGGTACGATCAGGATGTGGCAAGTACCACATTTCAAAGCCTTAAGCCTAAGCTTCAATTTGAGTACTCATTGGATAATTTGTATCGACACTGTCAGCAGTGAGCCCGGTTTCCGTTGGAATTTCGTGAATTTCTTTGGATTCCAGGCTTGAGAGGCTAAACGATGGGTGTGGTCCTTGGAGGCTTTCAAAAAATTCTTCTTCGACTGTTCTTAATCAGTCTGGTCCTCATGAACGTTTTTATAGTCCATTGGGCTAAATTAAAGTACACCTTTGACTTTTTCAGCACATGTCAAATTCACTGTTTTTCTTCGATTTTTTTTTGTGAAAAACTATCGCCGCCCGCTTCTCTTCAATTTCCTATATATTGATCCAGATGTTCAAAAATTACAAAGTCTATAGTGAATCATAATGTAAATCGCATGGCGAATCTAATGCACTTATCAGATTTTAATTTTGCAGCGTAGTTTTTTAGCAATCAGCTGTTGACACTTGAGTGTTCCTGACTATGTAGTAATATGCCAGCTGATAAGTAAAAAATATTAAATTGTTAAATTAGCGTACATCATTTTCATTGTTTAAATTTTATACGACAAATTGTTAACTGGAAATTGTATAGGATGACTACAAATCTGGGTGAAAGTATGCTTTTTCTCTGATTTCACGGTACAATTTATGAGACGGAAGCCTTTGGTGGAGTTCTTCATCCGGAGAAGCAGTAGGCACCGTGGTTCATGTCAAATCTATGAAAAATTCGAACGAAAATCTCTCGAAAACTCGGAATATTGCTGAATTTTTACTCGAATGTTTCATTCGACTGTGGCTCTGTCCAATACATGCGTTGTAGTTTCAGGACGGTGAAGAAGCCCGTTTCCTTCTCACCATTTCCCTATTTCGTTTTTTACATTGTTTTTAGTTTGTAAAATATGCAGAAACTTCTCTTTAAAATATTAGGGCTCAACTGGTTTACATATTTAGACTGAAGATTAATATGCATTTTATGTCTTAAGTAATTTTAGCATTAATCAAAATGTGAATGATGTTGATAAATAAATATAATAAACACTTCATATAATGTTGATTCATATTTATCATTTGTATTTTCTCTTCAAGGCTGAAAGTATGTAAATACTGGATGGTTTAATTGTCTAACTAAAATGGCATTTTTTTAATGGCGAAAATTAGTTAGTTTCCATTATTTCCGAAATTTTGTGTTTGAAATTAATCATTTTACGAATTTTGTCTTTGTGTCACATAAGTTTTGGTACCAGAGTTGAATAATAAATTAATATTTCAATTTAAACTCCTCGTAACTAATGGAGATTTATGGACTATAAGAAATTTTTACGGACCAGTATAATTTTAATATTTACAAATCAGTAATAACTGTAGCACTGAGAAATTAATATCTATGTACCTACGTGACTAAACACGATTTGTAGAAGTGTACAGTGTACACACTCTCAATAAAAGTTGTGACGATTTGCGCAAGGTTGACTAAAAAAGATGATGGCACAACAATTGGATAAAATTTGTCCAAGCGTTGCGTGTATGCACTGCCAGCGCAGATATTTAAATGAATTATCCACATAAAAAGATCATTTTCATGATTTTATTTACGCATGATATTTGCATATATACAGATGCATGTATATGTATACATATGTACACAATATATTGAGGGTATTCATTATTTATTCGTATCCATCGTATCGTAAAATAGTTTACGAAGAAAAAACAGGGGTCCAGCTTAGTAAAAATCGTAAGCGTAGTAACGTGATTTTCGATGACAAAATCTTACGACGCTTACAAAATCTCGTAAGCTTCGTAAGTTATTTTACGATACGAAGAATACTAAGGATACGAAGAAATAATGAATACCCTCATTGTGTTGTGTACATAATTATATCGCATTGCGTGTTTGCACAATGCTTAGTTATTTCTACGTAGAAATACACACGATAGAAATATGTATAAAATACAATACAATACACACAACTATACATACAGTGTGGTTTAAATGTCTCGGTACTATGGGAAATTTTTCAGTGGAAAAAGTTCGTAAATTTCCTCTGAAGAATTTTTTTAAGAATTGTAAGATTTTTGTAAGTTTTTATTTTAAGAACTTTATCATCAATTTTGATATTAGAATTGAATAGTCATTAAAAATCTTAATCCAAATCCTCGTAACTATCTAATGGAGACTTATAGAACTTTTCCTTTTGCAAAATTTCCCATTGTAGCGAGACATTTAAACCACCCTGTACATATGTATGAGTAACTGAATTAAACAGTATTCAATATATTCCTGTAGTTAATCCTTGAATTTAATAATAATTCAACAGTCAACTGAAACTATCCGCAAGAAAATAGAGACGTCTAAATTACTTATAACTAATTTATTTATCATTGCATTATTTTACGGTTGATATTACATTATAGTAGCCAGTTTATTATTAAACCAGTTTCTAAGATGGGGAGGATGCCACACTTTGCAAAAATTGGCTGCACGTAACTCAAAATTAAATGCCATCTCTAGGAATGTATATTAATTACTGGTATTATGTATTTAGTACTTTCGACTGCAATAATAACATTCCTCTTTGTATCTGCACTTGGAGAAAACGTTACCTTCTCCGATACTCCCATGCCAATAAAAACTAGCATCCTATCCACCGATGAGAAGTACACGTTGGAGGACGCCTATAACAATTACTGTATCATGGTTGCAGCCTACATATATGTAGAAATTACTTACGTGGATAAATACAATGAGGTGACTGGTATAAAATACTTATTCTGGGTATTCACGTCAACTTCGTAAGTAAACGTCGCTTCGATGTGATTTAAAGAGACGTTTTAGAGTGACGTGAATACCCACGTGACACAATTGATAATTAATATGTGATGTCTTGTATAATATTCTGTAGACAAATTTCGCCATCGTTGATGTCCCTCCAAAAGCAAACGTCTCTGGTGATTGCCTCCAAGGCTTTATCAATTTGACCTGGAATAACCCCACGGTCCCGAAAGCAAATTCTTTGGAGTTGTGGTTTCGACGAAATTCAACACATTTTTTCCTTCGGAGAATTGTAGCAAATATTTTTCAGGATCCAAAGTTTTTTCCGAATATAACAAATTCTCCACATTATGAAAAGTTTGAAGCAGACTTCTATGATTTCCTCGCAACGCCGATCGGTCGCTCTTATAGTTGTGACGAAATCGAAATTTTGTGGGAATGGACTGTAATGTTTTGGGGACGTTTTGATATGCTACAAATTGAAGCATTCAGGGAAGGTCCGCTTGGTCGGAGGGCCTTTAGTCCAGGTAAATATTTTTAACATAAGGTGGGCCCTTAATTTATAAGTACCTTTTTAATGTAAATTTACCAGCATTGAAATGTGGGACCAAATTTCCTCCACGTCCAGCTTCGTCTTCCATGGGTGAATGGACCTTCGTTGGCGTAGTAATAGTGCTAATGATTTCGACTGGGATGTCCGTATATTTTATTCGACGTCGATATTGGAAAAACTACTAACACGCATTGAACAATTTTTGATGTATACTTAACTAAGCACTTACTTGTGTATGTAAGTAATTAATGATGAAATATCCAAAATGCTAATTAACTTACCTTTCGTATAGCTATGGGAATAATATAGTTTTAAAGCTATTTAACTTTTCAAAGCAGAATTTCGATGAAATAAATTATGATTTTATGAATTTATTAAAAAATCGTAAACTATACACTTTAGTACAAACCACGCAAATAACTGCTAATAAGGTCAAATTATTCAAGACTTAATAAATGCCCACATTTTGCTGCATTTCGTAACGTTATTATTACGGTAATTAAGAAAATAATACTTCTCCAAATTATTCATAAATTATTTAATTCACTGCTTTTCAGTGGTTTCTAATGGTACATGTACATAAATTGTGCAATAAAAAAATTGATCTAATATTTACTAAGAACATTTCTAATTGTAAATATTTCGTAACAATATAAAATCAATGCTGAACCAAACTTCTCAAATTACTGAACTTCATTTGACCCAGCTAAGAGATAGACAAGTTATATCCTATAAGTAATAGACATTCAAGTCAACACTTACTTAGGTATAGACTACATTGACATGCAAAGGCGAATGATTATATAGTCAAAAATTTGTAATAGCTATAAATTTCATTAAAAGCATTTGCATTAACAAAATGTCGCTAAACAACGTTGTCGCTAAACAACGTTCAAGGAATTTAAGAAAATTAAAACCTGGAAACTGGAAATTCATGAAAGTTAAAGCTGCCTAAATTGCATGTGCTTGTAGTAAATTTTACAAATTCGGAAATAATATTTGTAAACAAATTTTTATACATTTGCATTATCTGCATTTTTCAACTTTAAAGAAACAATTTAAAGGGAAAGTTGTCTCTGGGTAAATACAAGTCTGGGTGAAAGTACGATTTTCCTCTCATTTTACCGTACGACTCGTGAGACTGAAGCTTTTTGCCGAGTTCTTCATCCGGAGAGGCATTAGGCACCGTGGTTCATGTAAAATCCCCGAAAAATTCGAACGAAAATCTCTCTAAAACTCGGGAATTTTCCTCAATTTTTACTCGAATTTCTCATTGGGCATCTAAGGAATACATATCTACTGCCAACTGCGGAGTTTCATGACGGTGAAAAAATCTGTTACCTCTCACTTTTCCAGATTTTTTTTTCAGTTAGTAAAATATGTAGAAAATTATGTTTAGTTATTGTCGCTCGGTGTTCTTGTTTGAGATGAGTACATATGCATTTTAATTAATAAACTAACTAAGTATTTATGGCATTTTTGCTAATATTAGTATACTGGCATGAAACAAATAAACACAATAAATACTTCATAACACGTATATACATATTTTACTTTTATTTTTCTTTCAGATTTGAAAGTAGTATGTATATACACTTAAAAAATGGGTGCCAAAATGTTCGAAAACCCAAAGTTTCTATATTTCGCTTTTTTACCTTCGTTTATAGAGTAGCCAATAATATTTAAACTGTACGGATTCACCATGTTTACATTTAATTTGTATATTATTTGGGTAAACTAATTCTGTAATGTTTGCGATATTGTTACGACACTCAAATAATTCAAATAAATACTTTACATTTAAAAACTTTATGATTTTGATAAATTTAGATGCTTGTCAGTCATAAGCAGTTGCAGTTAAACTTATGAATCAGGGCTATTAATTCGGCTAGTAATTCTTATGTCAATTCAAAGATTAGAACCAAGGGAAACGTACATAAATATTTATTTGATTGCCCCATTTAAATAATTTCAAATTTCTTTTTACAAATTGGTGATACTCTATTCATAATTTCTTAAGCGTTTATTATGCAATAAAAATTGAAAGGTTTAATATTCAGACAATAAATGAATAAACATGCTTATTTAAAGTTACTTGAGTAATATGTATTTACGTATCTGGAAAATTTAGGAAAGTTAAAACCACACAAATTATTTGGTACCTAATATTAAATTATTTTTCAAGAACACTATCTTAACAATTGAGTCGAATTTTAAAAATTGGGTAATATATATCTCACAATTTACGCGTAATTTGTTAAGTTCTTCTCGAGTTTTCAAGCTTAATGCATAGCCAAAATTGCAAATGGGAAAGTCCTATTGGGGTAAATATACGAATCCTGGTGAAAGCTGGGTTATCTCCGTATTTGAAAATATGTTACATGAGACGGAAGCCTTTTGCCGAGTTCTGTGTGCGGAGAGGCATCAGGAACCTTGGTTCATGTCAAATTTTGGTTCAAAAAATTCGAACGGGAAACTCTCGAAAACTCGGGAATTCTCCTCTACCAGTGCCACTTTTACTCGAATATCTCATTCCACAGTCAGTCTAGGGATTGGCAGTGAATTCACCTGCTTTGGCCGTGAATTCACGGGCCTGAAAGTCTGCAGATTCACGGGCTTCAAGATAGGAAAAGCTGTGAATTCACGGCCCAGAAAAAAAATAATTTAAAAATAATTCTAGGGCTGTGAATCTGCAGCTTTTCCTATCTTGAAGGCTGTGATTTCACGGGCTTCAAAATTTTTTATTTTCGTTTTTTGAAAATTTTAATTTTTCTGAAAACTTTTTAAAAAACGCAGGGGCCCAAAAAATAGGATAATTTTGTTTACATATTTAGAGGTTTATTTTAAAAAAATTCATCCATGCGAAATTCGAAATAACTCAATTTCAATTGAAAAAAATTACATTTCTCAAATAATGCGCACGCTGGCACGTCGAACGCAAACAACAATAAAAAGTTGAAAGTAGTGCCCTGAATATATTCTGAAATTCATGCATTTGTTTATGATATCCTATACTACATGAACTATGCTCAAAATTGAAAGGAGGCCCCACTTGACCACACCCACAGGGTGGGGCAAAGTGAGATTTTGGTCAGCATCAACACATTATGAAAAAATATTAAGTTTAACTGTTCGGGACGTTGACCCTACTTGACCACACCCCCGGTATGGGGTAAAGTGAGATTTTGATCAAAATCAACAAATTTTTGATTTTCGGAATTTTCACATAAACTAATCCGTCAAAACTTGAATTTGTGTACAAGGGGAGTGGTCAGAGTCCAAAATTATGATGATTTCCGAAATATTCTTACAAAATAATGTGTAAAACCGCCACTGTTTGAATTTGTGCATATGACCACTCCCACTCGAAGGGGGAGTGGTGGGAACTTAAAAAACTTAAAATGACAAAGATTTTCGAAATTTTCACACAAAATAATGTGTAAATCCGTCACAATTCTAATTTGTGCATATGACCACACCCCCTCGGAAAGGGGAGTGGTGGGAACTTAAAATGACAAACATTTTGAAAACCTTGATTATTTTGCACAATATGCAAATAGTGGAAGTAAAACTTTGTAGTGTATATAAGATGACTTAAGATAAGCATTCAGTGACAGCCAACCGTCAACCGTGCTAACTGATTGTTCTGATGTGAAATTCACGGCTCTGGAAATTATTTTTTTCCGGGCCGTGAATTCACAGTTTTTCCTATCTTGAAGCCCGTGAATCTGCAGCCTCTCAGGTCCGTGAATTCACGGCCAAAGCAGGTGAATTCACTGCCAATCCCTAGACTGACAGTGAATCTGCCCAATACATGCCTTGAAGTTTCACGACGGTGAAGAATCCCGTTACTTTCTCATCATTTCTCCATTTCATATATTTCAGTTTGGTTTTATCTGTACATATAAATAGTTTGTAAAATATGTAGAAAATTTTGTTTAAATTATTCGGGTTGGACATGGTTACATATATTGAGTATGCATATTATTTGCTTGCAATAATTCTAGAAATAGTGTAGATAATATTTACGATATTGACATGATAGAAATAAATTTCGTAAAAACTTCACAAGATGTGCATAAATATTTGTCAGTTTATTTTTGTATAATATTTATTTGGAAGAATTTTACGTTAGAGAAAATTATGACTTTTATCAATTTAGTTTTAAAAATGCTTGAAAATAAAATAGCTATACTATGTATGTTTCAATATTATAGAAAATTTTACTAATTTTTTTAACATTATAATTCGTGTCAACTCGGGATTGTCCAACAACTCGTAAGTCCTGCTCATCCTCAGCTCTTATTCATTCCACTTTCATTACACATGTGAAAAGACGAAATACGTACGTTATAATAATGGTTTCTAATTTCATATTTTGATTTGGAAACAGTCAATATAAATTTTTTTCGGATTATGATAATTTTTCGAATATTTTCCCATTGAGGATACATGCATAAGTTTAAAGAGAATTATGCACGATTTTAATTTATAGATGCTATCCAGCCACGATAATTATGTGAATATTATATGAAATCATGCGCCGATTTTTTTACAGAATAATAAATTGATTTATATCCAATTAATCACCAATATACTATTTCAGAATACAAGTCACGCATATGTTTTTATAAATTGCGTATATATACAGTAATATATACATTGAGTGCATATCGCTTAATTATTACTAGTTTACATAACTTTTTGTTATCACACATACATACATACATATACAATAACACAATTTATTTAACCCTTTATGTATGTATGTAAAACAGGATTGCACTGCTGACTGCAGGGTGAATTATTTTTGACTCATGTATATCCGCATAGCTTAAAATTTTGTAAACACATTAAATAATAATCATTGAAAAATTTTTGTAGAGCAAGGATTCTGAAATCAATTGCAATTCTAAGTTTAAAATATTTAAAAATAATTAAATGAATTATAATATTTTACATCTCCATTTTAAATTATGACGAATCATTTTAAAATAAGAAATATCAAAACCTCAAAAGTCTAAAAATATCCTTCACAAGTAATTAAGGTCAATTAAAATTTTCTTATTGTTTAAAGGTTTCATGTAAAGCTTTAATATTTTTTTGCAAACATGCCTGGCAGTGCAAGTTACATTTGTGTTTATTTATTTAATTGGATGGTTCGCACACAAGAAATATATTTTTTGTTAATTTTAATAAATATATTATTTTATACAATATAAATTTACGTTTTTGTTGACAAAATCTAGCATAAAATTATATAAGAAATAATTTTTTTTTGTAATTTTCTGTCAAGAAAATAAATACATGGGGCAGCCATGGACATATAACTTATAACTTCAAATTATGACGTATGACTTATTTTATAAGTTATAAGTCATAGAAACGCCATAAGGCGACGTATACTTATAATTATAAGTCAAGTTATACGTCATAATTTTAAGTTATAAGTTATATGTCCATGGCTGCCCCATGTATCTAATGTATATATTTTTGTATAATTTTGTACAATATTTTTTTGTATTTCTGAGCCCCTTGGTTTTTAAAAAATATAAAAATCTCGAAAGATCTCAAAATCCGATTTACAGGAAGTGAAGGACATGAGATAACTGTTCCCCACTTTTTGCCCCCTGCAACGCCATTCCGGTGAGGTAGGCGAGCTTGTGAGCGTACTGACAAGGGGCTGGGACGCTGATGGTGCCTGACCAGTTGAAGTACACGTGACATAATTTGTATGTCAGCTGCTGTAATTTGTCCGCGTTGAGACCCTGTTCGTCGTGCAGGATGTTGTACGACGTGGGCGATACGGTTCCTTGCCGCGAATATTGGGAGATAAGGTAAAAATCGAATCTGTAAAGAATAATAAATACGAATCTATAAGTTTTTGCACATAAATATGTAGTCATTTTTGCTAGTAAATTTCGCAATTTTGACAGGATTTTTAAATTAATTGATCAATATATAGTGCTGTAAAAAGTGTACTGAATTATTTCAAATTTAATATCTTGCTACTATGTTATACGATTTAATTATTTACATTTTACTAAATAAGTACATATATTTAAAATTTTGCCAAATTTTTGACAAGTCAAAGACAAATTTTATTCAAAAAATGTTTAAATAATAGCTAAATAAATTTGATTACCTTTCCGGCAAAGTAATCACGTCATCCACGATGCTACCCGGGTTCGGATTCTCGATCCGATTTCCGGGCTGATTTAGGGCGAAAATCCTGGTATTGATGCGCTTCGTGACAATGACAAAGCTGAATTTGGGCATTGGGCGGCCCCCATCGGCGTAAATAGTTTTAATGGAATCCTGAAGTGAACAAACCAAAGGAAAAGATTGTTATAAAATCTTTACACGTGCAAAAATTCAGCTATGATTGAATAATTCACCTGGATTTGTCTCATTTCCGTGCTAAAGATGTAGTTGAGCTGTCCCTCTCCGACCCCATCGCGATAAATAATGATCCTACTGGGCAATTCGTTATTCACTTGGGCGTAGGCGTATAAACATTCTGTTCAAAATGAAAAGGTAACCATTTTCAGTGATGATAAGGCACAGTGATAAGGTAACAACAATAATTTTTAGTCATGCTGACAAACAAATTTGTCAAAAACTGTAACAATAATTTCCGCAATTTCTTACAGTCCAGTTAACAATTTCTCCTCCGAAGTCGACCAATTTTTTATTTGTAATGGCAAAAATTTGTATTTTTATCATACAGTGACAATTTTTTTTACCAAAATATTTTTCTGTGGTAGAACATTGTCACACTTGATATACGTAATTTTAGAAACAATTTTCAAACTCGTAACCACGTAAGTTTTCGAGGATCAGCTTACGAACCAAAACATGCCTTTTATCTTATTAAGTTTTTGCATGTTCGTAAACAAAAATCGTAAATTCGTAATTTTCGTAAATGGTTACGGGCTTATGAATGGTTACGTGAGATTCCTCATACTTTCTGGAATAACTTACTTGTAAAATCTGCACAAAGATTGCTGCTGAGTTCCTCCCGAGTATTATGGGAGCTCGTGGTGCTGTAGTACTTGGTTTGATTGGCGTTCGTCGTGGCCACCAAGGCACCGATACTGGCGCCTCTTCCTCTCGCGCAGTGGTAAACGTCGAATCCGACAATCATCAATTTCTGGAAATAATTTTAAGAATTAATTTGTGAGGTTTTCAAAATGCATTATATTTAAGGGAAGTTAATGAGAGGTATTTACCGCAAGGGGAACTTGGACGACCCACGGTTCTCCACCAAGTTTCGCGTTAAGTTGGACAACGACTTTGGTCGCAATGCTTAACGCTCGTGTTTGATGGGTAATGTTTTTGATGACGAGACACTGGGACAGGACTGAAAATAGAAAATTCCGTCGGTACAATTTTAAAATAAGAAACAATTCACGCAAGCCTTAGCAACTTTGTAAAATCCATAAACGAAGAAATATTAGCCTACACATTTTTGTAATCAAGACTCAGATCAAGGGGGTATTTTTATATTGTAAAAGCTTGTAAGATAACAATGTTACCAAGAACTACGTGATATTTTTTTCATAGTTTTGAATTTCCTAATGAGCGTATTCACGACAATGTCTTACATATTTCGTGTAACAAATATTGTAGAAAATAATTTGCGAAATATGTAAAAGAAAGTTTGCTAAGTATTTAAATTTGGAGCAAATATAAAAAAGTTTTCAGGAAAAAAGTTTGTGAAATTTTGCAAAAAATTATTGTAATTCACCTCCATAGTCGATTGTGCATTTTTTCTTGACTGCAGAGTAGACGTCGACTTCTTGCTTGGCCAGGATGACGAATATCATCTGAATCCTGCGTCCATAGTTGGACATGGCCTGGTCAATCGCGGCCATGTATGACGGCACTCGGATATCGTTGATCCTCAATCTGGATAAAGAATAGAAAATAATCGCATACACTTTTTTTACATTTAAATTTTTACATTTTTTACAATTTTTTTGTAAGAATAATTCGAATGATTTTTTGTTTCTTTCTTCGCATACAAAAGTGTGTTTGCAAAGTTGTTTTTAGTATTCGAATTTTGTGTCGTTTTTTTTCTCTCAGTAATAAATATGAGAAATTTTGGGAAATAATGCTTACACTTCTAATGGCCTGCTCAGTCGAAATTTTAGTGGGTTTCCAACTCTTTGCAAGTTAGATACCAAGATTTCCACGGAACTGGCGTCCCTCTGCGGTACAATGATGACCCAATTGTCCAGCGCAACGGTGGAGAACATTTCCTTGTCTGTGTGCATAAAATTATGAAATTAATTAATCAATATACATAAAACAATTCGTTTTATTTACATGTTGATGACTATTGCAAATTTTAAATTATTGCAAAAATTTTACTTACTTCTGAAACTTTGGTCCCAATCCGAGCTGTTGTTCGGAAGGTCAAATTTAGCCTTCGCTAAATCCATGGTGGTTGGACCGAAAAGGATTTTTTGCTTCTCCAGGGTCCTCCCCTTCACGGGAACCAGCTTCTCGTTGAATTTGAGGCCCCAGTTTTGCAACTCTTTTTCGACCTAATTATTCACATAAAAATATTTAAATTCACGCCATGGGAAAAAATATTTAAAATTTCAGAAACTTAATCAAATTGTTTTTGAGTCACATTATAGATTTTAAAATATACTAATGATTCTATTACAGCATTGTGAAAGAACTTGGGGAGATTCACGCAGTAATTGGTAACTTGTAAACTCCGCAAGTTTTGTAAAATAATATTTCAGACTTTTACAAAATAAAAAGGCATCCTTAATATGAACAAAGTTATAAAAAATTGTTAGCCAATTTTCATTCGAAAATAGTAAAATTATGTAAAAGTTTGTAAGTTTACAGAATTTACGGATTTTACAATGTTACCAGGGACTGCGTGAATTGCCTCATTGTTTAAGTATAACTATTCCCTTAAAAACTATGTAAAGTTATATGTTGAAAATATGTATGGTTTATTCAAATGATTTACATACGAATTTTCAAGGGTAAAAATTTCGCCAGATTTTAACACTGTCTGATGAGATTTAGTGGAATTATTGACATTTACTTATTACTGAAATTTGTCAAATTTCAAAATTTTCGGTTTTTAAGGTGCGATAAAATTCTGGAAATGGGTTCAATCTCTTAATGTCATTAGCTCACCCCTGGCGCTGCCCTTAATCGGGTCATGAATCCCTTCACTTGTTCCACCCTGGTTTGTGGAGATACGTGCAAATATCCCGTGAGGCATTTCATTAGCTGGAAGTTGCTCCTCATGGCGTCCGTGAGTCCGGTCATTTGACAGAATTCGGGCACGAGTGAAATCGGACCGGTTTGACCGCGATGAAAATCTTTCTTTTTTGGTCGTGAGATAAGCATCGGTTGTCCAAGAACGGTGCAGGTCATGCCATACTTTTGCTTGAAGTAGTCAAAATAAGATGTTTTTCCTTTATCGGCATAGTCGAAGGTGGATTTGGGCGTCATATCCCAATCGATGTCGTCGACACGGTAGGTCTTCCGATTATAGTGCGTCATTACGATACAGCCGATCAGCTCGCGTTTTACATTTTCCTAAGGAATTTAGAAAAAAATGAAAATGTGTATTAAATTTTGGGACGTGTTTAAAATAATTTCAGAAATTTTAGTATTGTTTGAATTCTTCGGTACAGCTGCATTTAATAAAAATTTGTGTCAATTCACTCAGTCAGTCATGAGTAACTTTTTAAAATCCATAAATTGTATAAAGTAAGTTTATAAACTTTACATTATAAAGAGACACCCTTGATCTTATTAAGTTTACAAGAAATTGCAAAGTAGTTTTCTTCGGAAACATTTTTATAAAAGTTTGGGAGTTTACGGACTTTATAAAGTCACCACAGACTGCGTGAATTATATTTTACAAATATTTTACAGAATGCATAGTTGCATTAAGTTAATTTGACAGTTTGTGGCACTTAATTTTAATTTCAAGTAAATTGGAGTTTAGCAATTTGCATAGTTAGGAATTTTTATACAAATGATTTGAAATGTAGGATTGCTGGAATATTGCTAGCAAATTACATATTTTCTAAAATTTTATATATTTTCTAGTTGAATTTATTTGTGGATAAAACAAGTCGCCGCAGCATTAACAAAATTCCGAGTAGTTAACAAAACCTTGCATTAATTCCAAAATTCCGAATTGGCAAAAGGTCATATCAGACATCCGTTGTAATATTGAACATAAACTCCTTACTCATATTCTAATTTTGATTTCGTTCAAATTTTGTTGCAAAATGTGTCGCAAATGGTACCCACATTTAAGGCAATATATTGCAAACGTCGAAGAGTTGCGTATTTATTAACAACATTCCCAATTGGATTAAAAATTCGGAAAAAGTAACGGATTCTATCTAGCGATTCCGCTCTGTTATTAGACCTGTGGATTATACCAAAATTGAGCAAGATATGTACTGTGCGGGTGAAGCTTAGCACGTGAAAAAGCAGTGTTGGCCCTCACATAACAGGAAGAACTGAGGCGCGACACTGCTTTTTCACGCTAAGCTCCACCCACACAGTACATATTTATCTTGCTCAATTTTAGTGGGACTTAAAATGCTAACCAAAATTCCATAATTCGATCGTGGCATACTAATATGGAAAATGCAATTATTTTGCAAAGTTCAACATATTGGAAAATTGAGGTCCAAAATCAAGGCAGCGGCCAAATTCTAATCCAGTATAATTTTTCAAAATTATTTACTGTGATATTCGATTATTGATCTACTAATTTTTACGCAAATTTTAAGCTATATAACTTGAAAATCGTTGGAAGCCGAAAAAACACTATTTCATTGTATATATCTATCTTAATTATAGCGAAAATGCAATTATTTAGCAAAGTTCAACATATTGGAAAATTGGGGTCCAAAATCAAGGCATCGGGCAAATTCTAATCCAGTATAATGTTTCAAAATTATTTACTGTGATATTTGACCAACTTTGAACGATTATGAGACAAAACTCAAAATTGAAAGTAAAAATGATCTCGCTGGAAGATATTTTTAGACTGATAGTGATTTTTATTAAACAACTTGGTTTTAAGGTTTTGACAGTACATAGGAGACATTCATACATATGTAATAATATGTGGTCAGAAGTGACCATACAAACTACGCAGAGTTATGCTCAAACGAAGTGTCCCTTCTAATGAGGCATAAAAACAAAAGGACCCTTTTAATCCCTTGTCCTGGGCAAAAGGTTGGAAAATGCTCAGCCCTCATAAAAGTCGACAAACTTAAAAATTGATAAATATGGAAAACTTTGTTAACATGCATATTTTAACATCCTCCCTCAATTTTTAAAGTTCAATATCGGCAGTTTCCACTGGATTTGCCCTAACCGAAATTACATTTGGCCGGCTTTTCAGAAAAAGGAAAACACAAAGAGTGGCTTGAGCAACTATTATTAGTATGCAAAGGGTTAAGATCCATTCCATTGTTGACCAGGCTGGTTCATTGCTTGTGTGGTAGTGGATTGACCCTCCTTCGTCAGTGGAACCATTGATCATCAGACTGGTCCAGTTGAAACTAGGCTGCAAGTGCCAGTTGGCTTTCATCGTGAATAGTGGGTCGACTACTTCTTGGTGAACAAGGCTGGATTCAGTTCCTGAAAATTCAATATCATTTATTTTAAAATTAGCATTCATTGGAAGGATGAACACGCTAGCAGGGCATTGTTGCAGCTTCCTCTCAATGGTAATATTGGACCCAGGGCAGTAGATATGATATTGTCCATGGTGTAGTTTGATTTGTACAAAATCCCATGGTTCAGCAAGGTTCTTGTCATAACAGTGGTCTATGTCAAAGTGATTGGAGTTCTTTGTTTTCGCTGTTGGCGTGCATCCTCGAGTGGGCGAAACAATTAGGTCGGGGGTTGTAGGCTCCTTAACATTGATGGAGTATACGCAGTCATCTTTCGTAGAAAGGATGGCATTATGGGGTCCCTTGTACTTTAGAACGCAGGTTTCATTCTTCCTTTCAACTTTGAGATCGAAGGAGTCTGCCTCGATGAGTTGCAAATCTTTGTTAATTTCAGTTGCTGTGAAGTCCACATACAGCTTGGTTCTGTCATCTGATATTTCGCACTTTTGAGATTGTGCGAAGCTGACTGGGCAAGCATCACCACAGGGTAACGTGAAATTAAAGAAATCCATTAGTGGTGCGTAAACTTTTCCTCGCCGCCACTGTCTTGTTGCTTCTCTAATTATTTCTCTACCTATCATGAGGCGACTGGTACGGTAGGCAATTGCGAAATTGGTGTCAATGGATTTTCCCTTGAGTTCGTCGTGATCAAGCTGATGTAGCTGAAGCTGTTCTAGTGTAGCATTTAGGCTAACCTTAAGCTTCTCAATCTCTCTTTCCGATATTTCCACGCGACGTTCCAATTCATCCAGCATCTCTCTTTGTTCCGCTACTGTTCCTTGCAAAGCAGAGATTCTTCCAGTTTGAACAAACGAATTGATTGCTCCACCAACTGATAAGCCGGCTACAAGGACAGTCACACCAATTATTACTCCAACTGCAAGTAATGGGAGGACTCTCTTCACCCTTCGTCCAATCTCTCTGGTATGTCGCGAATTAATATGATCGGAGAATTTTCTTTTAGGGCACATTTTTTCTAGCTCATCCAGGAACATTTCGTCGTATATTTTGTTACATTTCTCGGTTGCATAGGCACTTAAATCCTTATGGAATAGATCCTGTGTTAAAATTTCGCACGGGTTCATGAATTTGACGAGCAAGTGGACTTGGTTATATCCCGTTGTAACTGGGATTGGACTCTTTTTCCATAGTAAAGGGATCGCATTCTGATGTGTCACCCCACAAACTTGCGTAATAAACATAAGAAGGATGGTGAGAAGGCTCATCAGTGAGAAGTTGGCTTGGAGGGGACCTCTCTTTACTTTAGTTGGGTTGTCCTTGCTCTCCTTTGTCTCATTTCTTTCCATACTGAGATCGTGTCTCATCTTGAAATGCTGGGTCTTCAGTAGTGGCTTAGTTAATCCATCTGCAATTTGTTCACTGGTATGTACATATTCAATTGCCAACTGTCCTGTACTAACTAGCTCTCTTGTGTAGTGGTACCGGACATCGATGTGCTTGGATCTTGAGTGCATCTCTGGATTTTTGACCAATTTTATTGCACTCTGGTTGTCAACATGAATTATTGTTGGGGACTCTTGTGGGAATCCTAATTCTTCTAGAAATCGTCGTAACCAAACGGCTTCACGCGCTCCAGAAGCGAGAGATATATATTCACTTTCCATTGATGACATTGAGACAATGGGTTGCTTTTGGCTTGACCATGAAATAACGCTGTCATTTAGCATGAAGACAAAACCTGTTGTAGATTTTCTATCCATCTTGTCGGAAGCATAATCTGCATCTGTATATCCCCTGAGAATCATATCCTCACACGGTTTGTATTTGATTCCGAGTTCCTCGGTGCCTTTTAAATAGCGGAGGACTTGCTTTGCAGCTTTCCAGTGAGTTTCGTCGTATGCGTGCATAAACTGAGACAGGCGGGACACTGCATATGAGATGTCAGGGCGTGTGCACTTGGCTAGGTAAATTAATGATCCAACGAGCTGTCGATACGGAAGGGTCTCGTTTATTGTTGCGGCTGGGACGAGTTCTCTTGCATGAGGTTGCATCGGCACATTCGTCGGGTTGCACTCCAGCATATTGTACTTTTCAAGCAGGTTACGGATGTAAAAAGGTTGTGACAAAAGTAAACCATCATTTCCATCTCTGATTATTTGCATCCCAACATAGGCTGTGGGCTCCATTATCGTTATTTCAAAGTAGGATTTGATTGCATTGATGATCTTCTGCACGGCATTTTTATCTTTTCCAATGACCAGTGAATCATCCACCCATAAGCTGAGATAAGTGATTATTGCATCAACATCTCCAACAAATATACAGGGATCGCAGTAACATGGGTGCAAGTCGAATTTCTCGAGAAATTCGGTGAATGTTTCATTCCAGGTTCTTCCAGCCTGTTTCAATCCATATAAAGCCTTGATCAGGAGGCACACGATGGAGTCATCTCCATTGTGGAAACCCTCAGGTTGTGACATGTATATGGTCTCCTTTAGAATCCCGTAGAGATAGGCTGTCTGGACATCCAGCTGTGCGATATGCATTTTCTTTGCTGCAGCTATACTTAGTAGAAGTCTTATGGACTCGTACCGAGATACGGCGGAGAATGTCTCAAAATAGTCGACGCCTTCTTTCTGTCTATGCCCTCGTATGACAAGCCGGGCTTTAAATCGATCAATTGTTCCATCCATTTTACGTTTAAGCTTGTATACCCATTTACTGTCAAGCAATCTTGCATTGGCTGGCCTCTTCACGTATTTCCAAGTCCCATTTTTCTTATGACTTTCAATCTCATCTTGCATTGCCTTTATCCATTCTTCCTTCTCTTTAGACTCAACGGCTTCTTTATAAGTTGAAGGTTCTTTGTCTGCATAAATGGCATGAGCTTGATATCTATCTGGTTTCTTAATTTTAGCTCTGTCTCTTAAATTGCGAGTGGTTCCTGATTTTTTACTTGTTTCAGGCAAGACAACACGTGTCGTCCCTTGCGATGGAATGCGAGCCGTGTAGTCTCTTTTTTCAGTTTTAACTTGGACTTCTAATTCGTCACCCATTTTCTCGTTGTCAGGTTGTACTGGCTCTGGGTCAACTTGATCAGGCTGTGGGTCCTCGGGATCGTATTTCTCCTCGTCCGTCCATTCTGCATCATCTTTTGCATCATCTTGTGCATCATCTTTTGCATCATCTTTTTCAGATTTGGATTCATCAGGTTCATCTCTTTCTTCTTCGCCATGTATCATTACTGTCGGTTCAAAAGCTTCTTCGTGGAAAGATACATTTCTTGCCTCAACCACTTGTCCGGACTCAGGGTCGTAAAGACGATATTTCTTGCTCTCTGATGCGTACCCACACAGGATAAGTCGCTCTCCCTTTGCTCCCCAGACCGTCCTTTTCTGGGCTGGTATATGTGCAAATGCTACGCTACCAAAGACTCTCAAATGACGGAGTGAAGGTTTCTTGCCAAATATTGCTTCAAATGCGGTTATATTTGGACTTTGCTTGTCCAGTATTCGGTTGTGGACGTAGACGGTGGTGGCAACGGCTTCAGCCCATAAAGATTCGGGTAATTTAGCTGCCAGCAGAATAGTTCGAGCACAGTCTTTTAAAGTTCTTATTTCACGTTCGGACCTCCCATTCATTTCTGGATTGTAGCTGACGCTATTTCATTGTAGCTATTTCATTGTATATATCTATCTTAAAAACATTTCTTCAAAAATTTAAAATACATTTTCGTAATTAGTTTGTCCTAAAGTTACAAACTCAGTCTTGAACTTAAACAACTACAGCGATATTTTAACTTTGCACTAAAATCATGAAAATTCGCACTTTGAAATTTTTCACTAAAAATTTAGCACCAAAACGTACCCTAAAATCTCCCCTTGCTGCTATTAAGCTATCCATCACGTGCAAGCAGGTGTCTCTCCGGATGACCTTGTGCGTCAGTTCGACGCCGAGTAAGATGTCATACTCATGGTTCCGAATGGAGGTCTTGTATCCAGGCCAGAGTTCGAGACGATGCGCGTTGATGACGATGGCCTTGTGGCGATCGTAAAAATGGCGTCCAAGTTCTTCCAGCTCCATGAACTCGAGGCATTTTCGCATCAAGATGTTGAAAACCTGGAGATACATGACATCCGTCGGGGTCAAGGTGGCGACCAGGTGGATGGTCATCTCCACCTTGGATTTGTCACTGTCTCTCACGGAACAGACCACGAGGGGCTGAAATAAAATAAAAAAAATATAAATTTCAAAATATAAAAAAGTGAAACTCCGTAAAAATTAGAACGCTTGGTTTTCCAGCGGAAACTTTCGCGTTTTGGGCAAATTACGGTGCCTAAAACTTGCCAAATTGTTCGCTAATGCCGCACTAAAAGTTGTTTCAAATTAACATGGTCAAAAACTAATCTGGGTTGAACATGGTTTGCGTACCCATTGTGAGATGACCTATAGCGATTGGAATATCACTTACATCTGGTGAAATCCTGTTCGAAACGTAGAGCGAGCTCCCATCAAAAATATAATTTCCGCCAAATTTATCCTTATGGTTTCTGAATAGTTGCTTCTTTTCCCTGGTTTCAATATCGGCCGGGGCGAAGTCCACCCTGTAGTGGAAAATCCCCCAGTCCGTCCTTTTGTCCAGGGTGAAGTAATTGCTCAAAAATTGCATGGGTGCTCCAGTGCTGCCTTTCTTGTCTTGGACGGCTCCCCTAAAAGACCATCAAAGTTTTTGAAATTCTGCAGGAATTTTCAAAATTTTGAGCTACAGGGAGGCAATTTATAAAATTTTTGGTAACTTGTGAAATCCGTAAGTTTTGTAAAAATAATTATAAAAATAATTTAAGTATGTTTACAAAGTAATAAGAAGTCAATGATCAGAACAAGTTTACAAAAATTTGTAAGCTTTGGAAATATTTCTAAGTTCATGGATTTTAGGGATTTTACAAAGTTACTAACGACTGCGCGAATCATTTAAGGTTAAATTTTAGGAGATAAAAAAGTCATTTCTAAATTTTCATAATTTTTTACCGGGTGGGGACCAGGTCGAACTTTTCCAGTTCCATTTGACGTCTGTCGACTCGCGGGCGTCCCCTTCCAGCCCGAAAGCCACCCCGTTCTCCACCACCACTTCCCGTGCTACGGTCGGTATCAGACCTCTCGCGGTTGGGTGGACCACCGTTGTTATGACCTCGTCCACCACGATCACCCCTTCCACGGCCTCGGCTGCTCATGTCTGTACCCTGGAGGTAGAAAAAGTAAAGTAACATTTAGGAGAAGGATTCTTGAGGGAGAGCATAATTTTAGAAAAATGTGATATTCACGCCAACTTTGTAGAATTGTAATATTTATGAAGAAGGGTTGCATTGCACCCAAAACTTTGCATAAACATTGCTCAAATTTAATGCACCACCGAATTAGCTGAAATTTCCCATAAATTTTAGCTGAATTCCATACCTGCATTTTCTTACCCATCGTCCAACTAGGTTGGGAGAACACTTGGCGCCGCGAAGCGCCGCCAAATTTTATTCTTACTTATTTTTCTTTTTTAAAAAAATTAAAGAAAGATTTTAAAAAAAAATAGAAAAAAGTAAGGTTTAATTTAAGCAAAGTGACCGGAACACCTTAGAAAGACACAAGCAGAACATAAAACTCGGGTCTTAGAAAGACACTAGCATAGCAGAACACTCAGGTCTTAGAAAGACACTAGCATAGCAGAACACTCAGGTCTTAGAAAGACACAAACAGAACAGAACACTCAGGTCTTAGAAAGACCCAAGCAGAACAGAATACTCGGGTTTTAGAAAGACCCAAGCAGAACAGAATACTCGGGTGTTAGAAAAATGCAAGCAGAACAGAACACTCAGTTCTTTGAAGGACACAAGCATAACAGAATACTTAGTTCTGAGAAAGCCGACCAGAACAGAACAATCGGGTCTTAGAATGAGACCAGCAGAACAGAACACTCAGGTCTTAGAAAGAAACAATCATAAGAGAACACTCAGTTCTTAGTAAGCCAAGCAGAACAGAACACTCAGTTCTTAGAAAGCCAAGCAGGACAGAACACTCTGTTTTTAGAAAGCCAAGCAGAACAGAGGTCTTAGAAAGACACAAAAAGATAAGAATATTCATATCTTAGAAGTTCTAAGGATCAACAAGAATTTGGTCTTACAAACACAAAGGAGGAAAAGAACACATACATCTGAAAATGGCGTAGGAAGAACAAAATTCTTAATTCAGGTTTTTGGAAACCCCAATAAATTGTCTTAGAAGGGGGAACAGAGTTCTTTTGGAGTCTAAAATCATAATTAGGGCATATCGTCTATTCACAACCAATTTACGGCCGTATTCTGAATGCAAAATTTCCAGCCTGAGTGGGAGTGGCCACTCACTTTTTGTATTCTTTAACATGGTGAGTGGGAGTGGCCACTCACACTCAGGCTGGAAATTTTATATTCAGAATACGGCCATTAGTCATCGAATCATCCGAAACCCGTACTACGACCATTGTTTTTATGGATTTGAACCAAGTTAGATTTTGGGAACGCAGAGATGTGATAATTTCATTGATGAAATTATCTCTATACTGAAAATTGCCTAGTCTACATAAAGATTCCACTACCATCGAGATTATTGATTCCGGAAATCATTATAACCCTGGCAGGAGTCTTCAAGTTTTAGCTGCATATATTTATTAGCAAATCTTTAACTAATATGAACACCCTTATACCACAAAAAGGCCAATTGAACAATTGTCAAAACCGAGGCGATCATAATAGTGCAAATATGGCACGCGAATATGTAGGGTTTAAGGTTTATTAGATATCGACTATTGGAGAAAAAAATTAGCTGGCCTGCATAGCCTTGGCGTGAGTGTCACCGAATAAATATCACTAAATTACTTATGGATATTCCGAGATATGCTTAATCATAAGTTTCAACTACGAATCACAGTTTTTGAGGAAAATCCTGTCAAATAAAGAAAGGAACCTGATTTGAATCAACATTTTTGCATGATCACCAATATCCAAAACATTTAGACAAACAAGTTTCTTTCAACTTCCTAGGTGGACAACATCGCTATACCCCATCCACTCTTAAGTTTGACCGCGATCCATGACCTGTGTAATTTGACATGGTAGGAAGTTGTTGATAAATCCTCTGGGGTAGTGTCGGTGGAAATCATACCAACCAGTTTTTGCTACGGAGGATTAATTTTTCTCCATTCGTCGCCAATAATCCAACTTTTCGCAACAACCATCCAATTTTGCGATTTTCCGCCGGCTTGCGAAGTGTTCTCGCTGATTTTTCGCAATTAGCGTTTGAATTTTTCCTGGGTTTTCGCTTTCGAGTGAAGGTTTCTTTCGCACAAGGCTGAAATCTTATCGATTTCTCGCAAATAGGGATATTTGGAAGGTTGTAAGGACGCCTTTCCCAATCTTAACCGTGGCATGACTAGTAGTTCTACAGGGGGTTTAGTTTTCATGAACAGCTTCCGTTGATAATTGACACTCACAGGGTTGCATGAGTGAAGAAATCTGTTTCTCGAAGTATTTGACGGATCAACTTTGCCGTAGTTCTCGTCGCAAATGATGATAATTTTTATTGACACACTCTAAAGAAAGTTGTAGAAAAATTCCACAAGGTTGTGCAAAATTTTTTCCAGGGTTGGGTAAAAAAGAGAATGACACAACCGTTGGACAAATTTTACTCAACATTGTTGAGTAATCGTTTTGCACAACTTCGAGGTGAAATTTACTTACAAAGGGGTGGGATTTTTACTCAACTCGAAACTAAAAATTGATCAATGAATGACTAAAATTCACTCTTTGGTTGAGTAAAGTTTACTCTTTATGCCACAGAATATAGATTCTACCAGAAGAATCGATCTTATGTATTCGAGTGACGCTTATGGAAGAACGGGGAGAGCCAACCAAATAACTCGGTGTACATTTGGCCCACCTGGGGGATGGCACCTCCGCATCATCATCATCACCACATCTCCTGGCATCAAAAAATGATGATGAAAGCACATAGGTGGCGGTGGCACCCCCATTTGTGCACACCCTCGTAGAGCATCAAATTTGTACAGACGCAGCTCAGAATGGTGTGTTCTGGTGCAGAAATCGGGGTGCCACCGCCACCTACGTGCTTCCATCATCATTTTTTGATGCCAGGAGATGTGGTGATGATGATGATGCGGAGGTGCCATCCCCCAGGTGGGCCAAATGTACACCGAGTTATTTGGTTGGCTCTCCCCCGTTCTTCCATAAGCGTCACTCGAATACATAAGATCGATTCTTCTGGTAGAATCTATATTCTGTGTCTTTATGCTGACTAAAATACATTCTACCATACAAATTCACCATTCTATCATTCTATCATACAAACCTTTGAAAATTTGAAGTATCTAAATCTGCTTATTTCTAAAAAATAGTACGGGAAACCTATGCAGCTTATGCAGAAGAATTGGAGTAGCTGCACATGAAGGTTGTGGCGAATCATGGCTTCAAAGAAATGCCAAAGAAATCCAAGATATCTTGATTTCTAGGCCGATCGGAAGAAGTTTAAAATATATGTCCGACAAAGTGGAAAGACGTTGGTTAAATGCGTTACCATTATTTCGGTTAACCACCGAGCTACGGGTCGTAAGCTAATTGAAAGTATTTAGATTTGAAAAGCTAGTTGAAAGGGAGTAATTATAATGTGGACTGAGCAAGCACACAAATTTAGTCAGCACGAAACACAGATCGTATTTCCACAGTGAGAAAGACTGACCAAACGCATGGGCAGTTTTTTATACTTCTGTAATTTTATTGGTGTGCATAAGACGTTTGGTTGATAAAAATCGGTAAAAAAATGCCCAAACAATTTCAATCCGAAGCCCGCCATCTCATTACACATTTTTCCGAAGGAAGATTGTCACGTATGAAAATTATCGAGCAAATCTAAATTTGCTAAATTTATCTAAACTTTTTCTAAATTTATCTAAAATTTATCTAAATTTATCTAAATAAATTTATCTAAATTTCACATTATCCGGATGCAGTGTGGTTCGTTCCCCAACATATCGTTGACTTAATTCCGCTTTAATTAGATGAAAATACATATTAGCGGGACTGTCATCCCCTGTAGGGTTTCAGCCCCCAAAGAATTTGATTTGAAAAATCGACGCCCTGACAAACCGAGAAAATCCCTCGACCCAAGCTCAAGTTGGAAACGTTGTTAAAGTATTTATGTCAGCTTCATGTGAGATAGGTGGTCAAGAATTAACTTAAAAATGGTTTCGAAAATAACCAAAGTTCACATCGTAAATTACTTTATGTCGAAAATCTCAAGGTAAATGACCCAGTACGCAGGCGAGTTAAAACAAAATCTAGGAATTTCAGAATTTTTCGTGATTCTCTGCAACCTGTGCAAAGTCCTGAAGTCTTGTGGAGTTTAATGGATTTGGACTACTAAAGCAACGGCTTTATCTGAGACGAGCTGCGGATTTTTTTGGTGTTTTGGAAAATTCCTAAGGAGTAGTTAAAGAAGATTATCCTCGAAAATATAGGAAGAGCAATGAATTCCCGGAAACGGAGAATTGGTTGTTTAGTCAAAGGTCTCAGGAACACCTTAAACAAGTTTTGAGGTCAGTTGTAAAGACGGTCGAAATTCGAGGTACCACTGCTGTATTACTTTGTTTTATGTATGCGTAGGCAATTTTTGCGTTTCATGGTTAAGCAAATCATACTCTCGTAAAATGTTAAATGAAGAGAAATTTAAATTTGAATGTAGCTTACTCTAAATAAAAATGAGTAAAATTTACTTAAGGTTGAGTAAACAAAGAGGAACCAACGGGTAAAATTGTTCTTCGTTAAAAGCATGCCATCAATTTACGCACACTTTTCCTGGTCAACAGCTCCAACTTCAAAATGATTTCCCGTGCCCATAACGTGCATATTAAACATACACGCTTAAAAATCATGTTAACTTGTTACAAATTCAATGTGCCCGTACTGAGGGTCAGGCGAGATTATAGAACCTGACGAAAACTACTATTTTTGGGCGAAATATTCGTTGCTGGATATTTTGAATGATTTCATCGTATTCCTCATCCTTTTCTCATGAGGAATGAAGTTATCATTACCAAAAATTCAGGCTTTTAAAGCCGGCAGCAGATTTTCTTTGAACCACTGTTCATCTAAAAGTTTGCAAAATGCATAAAAAAAATTTTATGTCCATTTGAAAAAAGTGTCGATCTGAAGTTTCAAATCTAAACTAAAGCACTGGAGGCGCATAACCGGACGTAACTAGTTTATCTTTATGCAAAATAATTTAAATTCCGAATATTAAAAAAGGAATGGCTGCGAACTGGGTAGTAATCCGAGCGTTGTCAGAGAAAAAGTTTCGCGTCAACCTCATATCTTCTGATCCTCGCTGAAGTTGTGCATATCTTGGTGAATAATTCAGTTCAGTGCACGCCCAGGGACCTGACACTTCGTGGCCAGTTGATTTTGGATTGATAAAAAAATCCTTGCCTTGTCCACATCAATTTTTCTCACGTGCGTCGGGTTTCTTACCGTCCGGGGAGCATGTGTTCGACGGATGTGGCGCCGTCAAATTTCTTGCCTGGTTCCTCTTTTCAACTGAATCCTTTATTTTAGACATTGGGCCATTAGAAATGATAATGTTTTCATCCTGGAGTTGGTTTAGTATTTTTTTGTACGTCATTATTGCTTGGCAAACTGTTTTTACAGCATGGAGCTCTTTGGGGTTAAATTTTGGACCCGTTTACAAAATTTCGAAATTGAGCTTTTGGGTCACGGCGCAGCTTGAACCAAGCTTCGAGAAAAGTTTCGAATATTTGGAATTAGCGCCATTGTTTAGCGTATATGGGCAAATAGCGACAGGTTTTATAATCTCGCCTAACCCTCAGTAATTCTGGATTAAGTAGACAGTACTAAATCCATATTAACATTAGTTTGAGTAAGAGTAATGTTTATACACTAATTAACAAAAACTAAAATTTCCACTATTGTATGTACTATGTGGGGTGACCAGACTACTCATTAATAGAGACACCCAGGCCAGCGGCGGTAGCGCATTTAAGGCTAATTGCCGACTCGTAAAATTTCCACTATGTTGAGCAAAAGAGAATGACACATCGAAAGGGTACAATATATCCAACCGTTGATTAATTGATGCGCAACTTTCGATAAATTTTGCACAACGGTTGGACAAATTTAGGCTTTTGGTTGCTTTATAGTCCTCTTTTTTGCTGAACCTGTACAAAATTTCACTTACTTTTATTTAGAGCACGTATATTGAAAATGGGAAATTAGTTGGTGGAACATAAGGGAAATCTTCGAACGTTTTCCAGCGTTGCAGTCTGCAACTAATCTAATCTGCAAGTTGCAGGCCTTGCAGGTAGACTAGTTGCAAATTAAATTAAAAAGTTCTCAGAAGTATCCGAAAAATCTCCGGAAACTTTCGAAATTTCTCCGAAATATTAGAAAATTTCCAGAGAACTCAAAAAATACCGAAAAAATTCGAAAGTGAAACCCTTTTCGGAGAACATTTGCGGAATTCGTTGGGAGAACACTTGTAAGAAAATGCAGGTATGCTGAATTCGCCACCGGATGAATTTTTTCCAATTTTAGCCTTTTCAGCCACCGATTTAGATGGTGGTTACCACAAATTTAGATGAACTACCATCACCATATTTCATGACGATAAAACATAGGTATACATGTTTTAAAAAAATATAATCACCATAATCTCAAGAAATCATGCTAATTTCCTTATCACTGCATGTACCTATGTATATATTCGTATATCATTGACTAGACTGGGCAGGAGAAGTGACGTATGTATTACCTTTCGGCTGGTCATCACTACTCTCACAGTCATGCAGTTAAAATATATCTATCAGAACAACGTTTTTTAAAACCAAAGAAATGACGTGTTCGCAAGTTTTTAATTGGACCAGTGATACTGAATTCTCTCTTTCTGAGGAAAATTCTCCCAAATTTTAGAAGCTCAAGACCAGTTGCGTCTAATATTCCTTTAGAGAGTAGTGGGATATCAGGCTTAACTGGATTAATCCTATTCGAATCCGACAGGGTAGGGTTGGATTGGATTGGAGTTTTTTCTGACCCAATAAAGTTGGATCGGATCGGATCTGATTGGATTTTTTATGACCTGATCGGATCGGATGTCGGATTGGATATAAAAAAAACATCAATCCAACTACACTATGTATATGTAGAAAGCAGTAGGAAATCGAATTTAATCGGATTAATCCAATCCGAATCCGACAGACTCGGATTGGGTCGGATTATTTTAGGACCCGACCAGGTCGGATTGGATCGAATTTTTTAAGGATCCGACCAAGTCGGATCGGATCGAATTTAAAAAAAAAACATCGATCCGACTACACTCTAGTTTCCTGTGCTAATAATGCTCATTAAACGATCATTTGGCATGCAGAATAAATCCATTAAAAAAATTCTACTCGCTGAGAAAAGGGACCAGGTGTTATTCGCTGCATATGCAGTGCGTTTGACAGATGCGGAATGGACTTCTGACTTTCACAAGCACACAATGCTTCTCTAAAATTGAGCGCACAACTCTGTCCAGTCACGTTATGTATGTACTAGCCGATCCATCATTTCTGTTAAGGATTTAATAAGACCTTCTCTACCCGTTATCCAACAACGGATCAATTTGCTCAAGACCTACATTGAGTGAGACGCCAGAGGCAGAAAGAATGCAATATGAGACATTTTGGCTGACTCTTCTTTTGTTCAAACGAAAAATGCTCAACAATATTTGTAACTTTGCAAAGCATACTGTGTCCACTTGCCTCATTAAATTTACAAACGGTAACGAAATGGAAAGTACATAAAATATGCAGTAAAAAACGTCAAAAAACCAGAATAAATTTTGTCTCAAATAATTTTACGACTCATTACAAAAGTCCTTCAAAGTTGCCAAATAAATGATGCAAACAGGATAACTCTACCGCCATGATAATAAATTTAGTACCACTCTGGTAATATTTTTTACCCCCTGGTTCTTATTACCAGCGGGGTAACAAATTTATTACCACTCGGTAATAAATTTATTACCAGTCGGTAACAAAATATTACCATGACGGTAAAGTCATATTATTACCGCCTGGTAATGACCTTGTTACCTGAGTTTTGATTTACAGCGCAGTAATAATTTTAGCAATTAACTACTTAACTACGGCACAGAATTAATACCAGCTTTTACAATGAAGCTACACCTTACTCACCCTTCCGGAAAAGTATCCTTACAATAACCCCTTAATCCAGAATTGTCCTTAAAACCCGTCCAATTTTTAACCACTTTCCGTAGAACTAATTAGACTCCAAACAAGGCGTGTCCCTTCAGCTCCGAAGTTTAAGAATGAGCTGTTACATATATTTTGCCACGTCACCAACGCTTTAACAGACCCGATTTCTTAACCTTCTCCTAAATACACATGCACATACATAACCGTACTTGTGTTTTATCACCAGCTCCTTCAAATCCTACAATATTGTGTCCATGACTAACTGAGCTAACAATCCATGTTACTAAATATGGATAATAATCTGTAAAATGATATCGACATATCCTACCCCGTGTCACACTCAAGAAAATACAAAAGGCCAAGTTTGTGGCACGTATTTAAATAAATATGTATGTATGTATGTATGTAAATATGTACATATAGGGGCTGCAGGAGTGTGGGGGAATCGGGTGCACTGTGTCCCAGGATTTTGCAAACTTTTCCAGGTTGCAAAACTCTTTTCAATCGTGCAATTTATTGTCCCCGTGGTTTCTAGGCTCCTGTGTATGTATGTTGCCAGGAAGACAAAACCAATGTGTAAATACATATTATCTCGGTTTTTATTGCTCATTGTCAAATTTCAATTGCCATGCTTTCGTTCTTCACTGGTTGGAAATATGTTTTCATGTTTACGACGAAAGAAAATATTTATGCTGGGGTCGTTTCGAATAAAACAACTCATGAAACATATCGTAAAACTCGTAAGAAGACGTAAAAATACTTAGAAGACGCACTTATATAAGCGATTTTACGTCGTGTTTACAAGGGTCCAATTACCATGTGGAGACTTTGCATGTGAAATAATTTAGTCCAATATGCAAATTTCGAATACATATTTATTATTTATAATTTATAAATCTTACATTTCCATTGGTGGGATGGTCACCCATCTTGGTAACTTTCGAGCTGTTGAAGTTTCTTCAGTGGTTAAATTTCATCTAAATCTGAAAATTAGAGTAATGCAGGTTGTAAAATTTATAACAATTATTAATGATTTACATACACAAAAGAACGATGATAATATATTAATTTTGTGATTTTTGTATGCAACAAAAACAAAACGAATATCAAATAAATAAAAAATTTTGAGTGAAACTTAGGAGGTGAGTTACACCAAATTATGCTACCTGATCACACATGTAAATATTTACATGAAACTAAAAACAAGTATCGGTTCAGGCGTTCTTGATTTTGTGCATGAATTAATTGTCTAATTAGTGTGCACGAAGTAATTAATTTGCCATTAACTAATGGTCCCACTGGGTCATATGCATAAAAATATCTAAGTAAATGCTTTTACTCCAAAATGTCTGTGGTCAATTATTTTTTTACGCTGGTATTATTTGATACGCTAAACGACACAAATCCATCGAAATGTTTCGAAATTTCAAATTGAATTTCACGTTTAAATCTGCTCATCGCTACCAAATCACCAGTGTGGTTAAAGTTTTTCTAAACCAAATTACCGTTAGTTAGATAAAGCGTTTGATCTTCATGCATGCGAAATCACCATATGGAGACCGTGCACAATTCATGTCATCAATTTGCACTTGTCGTAACTCACAAAATTTATGTAATCATGCAATATGAGGAAAATAGTGCATATGCCCTTTCAACCAAGACGCTTTAATTAATGACATGCTTTACGCGTGGTCACCAATCGGTCTACATAGATATACAGTATATCATATACCTTTACTCACAATGTGTGGCATCCGAAGTATAACTTCTCATCCCAGCCTTGTCAGCATTACTGCAAATATTTTAAAGAATTTATAACACATGGGCAAGATTTATGCAATTATTATTTTTTATTTATTTACAAAAATTAACAATTAAGATGCCAAAATAAGTATGCAATTATAAATATTTGTACAAACTTCTCAATTAAATTATGACCCAATTTATGCAGGGTTTTGTAGTATTCATGATTCCTTCGTATCCTTAGTATTATTTTAATATCGTAAAATAAGTTATGAAGGTTACGAGATTTTGTAAGTTTTGAGTAAAATTTTTCATTTAAAATCGCGTTACTAAGGCTACGATTTTTGCGAAGGTTGATCCCTTCTTTTTTCTTCGTAAACTATTTTACGATACTAAGGATACAAAGACAATTGTGAATACTTCCACTGTAAATTTAACAAAACTTCCAGAGAAAATTGGATCACAAACTTTTGTACAATTCACGTCTCAAATGTGTCCTTTAATTTTGCAACATTTTGTACACAGCAAAGTATTTTACAAAATATGTAGATTTTCCAATTTTACAAAGAAATGCGCTAATAACGTATTGGTTTATTTTCTGTCACAAAATTTCTTTGTTCATGTCGTACAAAAATAAGAATTCGCAAAGTTTTAAAAATCTTGCTACATAAAACCAGAAACATATGTGCTGTTACTTATCACTCCTCTTTAAACCAACTTGTAAATTAAACACAGTTCGAAATTAAATTGAGTACACAATTTAAATAATTTTATGTTCTTTAACAAAATTTTACACACCTTTTTCACAAACAAAGCAATAACTTTTGCTTCCACGGTATCCAGTTTACACAATGTGTAAAACTACAATACCAACTCAAAACAAACCAAGTGTAGTACTGGGTTCGATCCAAGTTATCAAGTTTTGCGCTCTTCATTCCCCTTTCCTGTAAAAGTTGCTGGTTTGGTTGGGGGTTATGGTGCAATATAAATAGAAGAGCTTTCTATGTAATACAATGTATATGCAATATTGCATATGTACCATTGGAAATGGTTGGACAGGGTGCCGGATTAGGGATTAGTTAGGTCGATTATCTCTCGTGTGAATTTCATATGGGTGTGAATTCTTTCATGGAGACATCCTTTGAGTCGTATATGTACATATGTACATCCATTATGTTTCCTAGAATGTACTAAAAATTTGGCACAGTTTCATGCACATATGCAAAATTTAGCTTTATTCAGAAATTTTAATGGATTAATAATCTATTGGTTTGTATATAAGTACATACTAAAATTATGACAAGTGACTCTAATGACAATTAAGCGTAATACAAAACCATACCCTGTGTCCGCCGTGCAATGCGTAGTGTACAGTGCACACTATGCACTTATGTTCCCATGGCTTCTAACGTACAAACATGTACTTAAGTATGAAAGTACATACATACATGTGCGGCACATGTATGTATGTACTTTCATACTTATGTATATATATATACATATGTATCTATAGGTTCCAATGACATCTAATGTACATAAGTATTTATTTGTATGGTGCGTCTATGAGATGCACATGTCTATCTAGCACATTCAAATTTCCACCTAATTGCACAATTTTCGCTATGTTATCTCATTACGATGAGCTATGAAAAATATCCGTTCTTGTGGCACTTTTTCTATCTCGTTATCTGAGATTGCCGGACAACTTTTTTCGATTTAAAAACGAATGGAAGGGGCGCACATAGTTTTGGTACAAGACTCCATTCAAAGTAATTTTTGCAAAAAACATTATCGTGGTGCCGTTTCCACTACCGTATATATATATTTCCCAGCTTTGTCACAAAGAGCTCCTAATTATGCTCATCAAAAATTGCAATTACTGTTTTCAACTTATTGCAATTGTATTTTAAATAAAAAACGTCATGTTATCTGGGTATGTCCCCTCCAGTTATCATTATACAATTTTCAATGCTTGAAAACCTTGTGCAGTTTGGTCTAACCCAGCATACCCGGGTTCCACCAGAACTGGAAGTCTGTTCAGTCTTGTAATAATTACGCGCAAAAAGCTCTCATGAATTTTTAGTTACAAACCATCATGCCGAGTTGTTTTTACTGAAGATTGGTTTACTTGATCTTTATGGTGCAAAAAGAGAAATACGCAACCCTGTAATTGAGCTTAATTTATTGCTTTTTAAGTGGTGGAATCACTTTATGCGGATGCTCTGTCCGTCCGTTGCATGTGTTTCGCATGCGAGGACAATGGAATCTTTTGCATTCAAATAGTCAGACTACATACAAGTTTTTTTAACCTTGTGACCTTGACCCTTGAGTCTGAGGAGTTAACAATTAGCCTTAGATGAACAACCACCGCGGCCCTGGCTTTCTCTACTAATAAGTAGTCTGACCACCCCATAAAGTATCTGACCCTTCAGGGTCATACAAAAGGTCACGAGGTGTTTTTAACGCAAAATATGTTATGTGGGGTATCGAATGAAAGATCTTACGAGACGAGGTCATAGCACCATTTTGGACCGTTGATCTTGTGATTATCTGCCGTTACCTTAAACATTAACAGTATCATAACGACGGATTACATTAATATGCAATTTGTTTTCGCTACTTTTTTATATTCCGTTTTTATAAAGGTTCATCTCTCTCAAGGACGCCAGCGAAAATAAAGAGTGTCCTGCATGCAGCAATAAAAATTTTACCCAAAAAATGAAACGGAGTCAACATTTTAAGTCTCCCCTAATTTAGGGCCATTCACAAACAATAATTAGATTCCAATTTAATTCCAATTACATATTTTGGTTCATTACATTGCTACCTTTCGCATGCAGCACGTAGTGCTCGAATCATACTCAAACTTTAAACCGGTGACATTATTTGCGCATGGTACATCACCCCGGGCAAGACACAGGGGTCATTGTATTTACGTAATTGCATGAAGTCCCCTTCCCCAAAATAATGGTTACGGTTGGATTTGGTTTTATGGCATATTAGGGTCTCCCAAGTTAAAGTAAAAAAGTAGATTACTGTAAAAAAAATCTGAAAAAGCGAAAAGCTAAAAAATCTGAAATCCGTTTTTTTCGCTCAATACTTGACTGTCCCGATTTTTTATCGCTTGAATACTCAGGAGCAGAGAATGGGTGGTCAGGAGACTTTCGAGTTTCTTTTAAAATTTAAATTTGCTTCATGTTGGATATGATAAAACAACTATCTAAGATCATGTAAATCCAAAAATTGCCAAAATGGGATGAAAATAGGATTTTTGGCAAAGGTTTGAATGCGGTAGTTTTAGTGGTTGCAATGCTTTTCAGGGGGTGTGGCGGGCGCAGGTGGGGACATGGAGTAAAATCCTCCTTCACTTTCCATACACTCACCTGATATTGCAATATATTCCATAGGGCATCAAAATCGGGTGATGTCCCCTTAAACATGTCTCTGAGAGACTGATTTTTCACTCAAAGTAGTAAAAAGAGCGAAAAAATCATCTTAAAGTAGATTTTATTTTTGAGCAGAAAAAGCGGAAAAAAGATCGGAATCGCATGCGCAGTGCGGTTTACAAAAAGAGCGAAAAAATCGTGAGCGGAAAAAGCGATTTTTTTTACAAAGTTGGGACACCCTATTATTTATATTTTATTTTAAGTGTCCCAAAATCCAGTGAGGAGTTAGTTTATGTCTTTCTCCAGGATTTCGTATAATGCCCATTGACAGAAATATACTGATCAGTATATTTCTAAATGGTTTATGCGACAGGCTTGTAGGGTCGAATAAAGAGCACTGTTCACCTCGAGGAAGGAAACTGACTCTGTGTTGATCGAATGTGACTCCAGCATCTGCCCTATGACTGTTTGGGTATGCAGAAATGTATGACGATTTTGTACATAGATATGTATGTAAATAGGTACATACATACATACATAAGCATGGTAAGTGCATATGTAAATATATATACACATCCAGGGACATTAATGCCGGGTACGTTTAACAACCTTTATAAATTTTGCCTTTCAAGATATTGTTTAGCAAGGCGTTCAAGTTGTGAGCCATACATAAGTTATGACTTGTATATACGAGTATTTAGGATAGGACGAGCTTTTAGTTAAAGATATGCTGAAAAACATGGGACTTATTTAATTCCTTTCGATTTTCTGAAGATGACGGAAGGCATCCAACTTATGAAAACTATGTACTTGTGACTACTTGTTTAGAAATTTGGAGGTGGCATAATTACAACTGAAAAGGACTCCAATTTGTGCATTCGTTAAACAATTGAATCCTCATAGCAAATATAGAGAGCACGTATGTATGTAAATGTAGATATTCAATAAATTGACAGACAATGGCAATTATTTAATATGTACTTTATTTTGTTTGTAATTGTCGGGATATTTAATCCTTTACAAATTTACCTTATTTAACCTTCTAAAGCTGAATTGAAATAATATTTAAGAAGCGTGGTGTCTGGTGAAACTGGTGAAACTCTTGCGTCTCGTATAGACATCAAGCCCTTAGTTTTTTATGTATTCAAAGGAAAAACTGTATTCTATTTATGTTGATACCACATTACCACAAATTCCATCCCTCAATTGAAAACGTATTGTCTAAGCATGTGGTCGCAATTGTCATTTCATACTTCCCCTGAATTATCACTAGTGAATGGTGATAATTGAAAGGATAAGTGAAAGGTAATATGTATGTACTGATTAATTCACCACAATCAGCCTGTGGTCCACAGGCTGATTAAATTACCACACTGGTCTCATGTATTTATGTACATACGGGTAAGTCGATGGGTACATACATATACGGATAAGTACATTCTTAGGAAACTGGTATTAAATCTATATTTGGTTTAATTAAACCATTACTGACCGTAGTACATTTAAGTATTTATGACTCCACCGGCACGGATATAGAGTACATTGCCGTTTAGTAATCTCTGGTAATGAAAAATTTACCACTCAGCAACAAGCTACTACCATCATCAAGCTACTATCATCTGGTTGGAAGTTATGGCCAAATCAATACCAGTACGGAGTATATATGTGACTCTAGGGTCTCCCAAGTTTGTAAAAAGATCTGAAAAAGCGAAAAGCTAAAAAATCTGAAATCCGTTTTTTTCGCTCAATACTTGACTGTCCCGATTTTTTATCGCTTGAATACTCAGGAGCAGAGAATGGGTGGTCAGGAGACTTTCGAGTTTCTTTTAAAATTTAAATTTGCTTCATGTTGGATATGATAAAACAACTATCTAAGATCATGTAAATCCAAAAATTGCCAAAATGGGATGAAAATAGGATTTTTGGCAAAGGTTTGAATGCGGTAGTTTTAGTGGTTGCAATGCTTTTCAGGGGGTGTGGCGGGCGCAGGTGGGGACATGGAGTAAAATCCTCCTTCACTTTCCATACACTCACCTGATATTGCAATATATTCCATAGGGCATCAAAATCGGGTGATGTCCCCTTAAACATGTCTCTGAGAGACTGATTTTTCACTCAAAGTAGTAAAAAGAGCGAAAAAATCATCTTAAAGTAGATTTTATTTTTGAGCAGAAAAAGCGGAAAAAAGATCGGAATCGCATGCGCAGTGCGGTTTACAAAAAGAGCGAAAAAATCGTGAGCGGAAAAAGCGATTTTTTTTACAAAGTTGGGACACCCTATTATTTATATTTTATTTTAAGTGTCCCAAAATCCAGTGAGGAGTTAGTTTATGTCTTTCTCCAGGATTTCGTATAATGCCCATTGACAGAAATATACTGATCAGTATATTTCTAAATGGTTTATGCGACAGGCTTGTAGGGTCGAATAAAGAGCACTGTTCACCTCGAGGAAGGAAACTGACTCTGTGTTGATCGAATGTGACTCCAGCATCTGCCCTATGACTGTTTGGGTATGCAGAAATGTATGACGATTTTGTACA